TTGTATTCCTTTTGACTAATTACCTGGATCTTTTGCTCCATAAACTCCTTGCTTGGCTCTTGTTTTGCCAAATACATTTGGGATTTATTGCTGTGCAGACAGTGCTGGGCTGGACTAATTGCAGCCAGAGGCTGCTTGAGGTTTGTGTGGAGGGTTTGTTATCACTCTGCTCTGGGACTTGCCAGAAACGTGGGAGCGTTTGGGGAGAGAGACCTGCTCATCCAAGACCGGCCTCGGTGGTAACCCGGCCCTTTCTTTGGCACCACGGAGCTCACCTTTGCACTCTGCGGGGTGACTTCTCCCCACCGGCACTTTCCCGCCCCAGAGTGCCAAGAGGGATTGGATCTTGGCTGCCGCATTGGAGGCTTCATTAAAAGTACTTTTCGTCACATGGGATCGCCCAGCAGCGAGGAGGGAGAGGGAGAAGAGGGCGGCCATTAGCAGAGAGGGGAGTGCTTCTGGGACAAGGGGAGCTGGGAAGCATCTGGGTTCAGCTCACCTGGCCTCTCTTCCTTTTGCAGCCGTATGTGTAGCTGCTGGACGATCCCATGTTCCCTCCACTGCCAGGCCTGGTTGCAGAGGCCGGTGTGCACCAGACGGCATTGGCGCTGGGCCTGGCAGAGGCCGAAAGATGGGAGGGTCAGAGACCTACTAGGAGCACAAGCCCTGCCTGAACTTCCTGGGGTGGCTCCAGTACAGCTGCTGATGGCCCATGGTGGCAGTTGCATGGCTCGGACGTCAAAAAGGAAAACGAAAGGCCGAATGGTGCAGGCACAGAAAAAGAGAGCAAGTGAGCCTCCCTGCTCCTGCTACCCTCCCCTCGGGTGACATCACAGCACGAAGCGGCTCTAGTAAGTGGCAAAGGTGGCAAGACGAGCCGCCTGGCGAAGAGAGATTGGGAGGGAGGGGCGAGGCTTCAGCCGGTTCGCCGAACTGAGCAGTTAACAACTGGTTCTATTGAAGCGGTGTGAACCGGCTGAATCCCACCACTGTATACAATCGAATTAGACTGTGGTGTTTCTCTGTGTCACACACGTGTGTGTATGTGGGTGTATGCATAATGGTTATCTTTTGAGAGCTGAATGCAACGAAATCTCATTTTAATGTATGGCGATTAGTGCACAATTTAAAGTGACAGTAAGATTCTATTCTATTCTATTCTATTCTATTCTATTCTATTCTATTCTATTCTATTCTATTCTATTCTATTCTCTATTCTATTCTATTTACTGTTCTCTATTCTATTCTCTGTTCTGTTCTATTCTATTTTCTTCTATTTACTATTCTCCTATTCTATTCTATTCTAGTCTCTATTCTATTCTACTATTCTATTCTGTTCTATTTGCTATTCTCAATTCTATTCTATTCTATTCTATTCTATTCTATTCTATTCTATTCTATTCTCTATTCTACTATTCTATTCTATTTACTATTCTCTTATTCTATTCTATTCTCTATTCTAGTCTATTCTATTCTATTTACTATTCTCAATTCTATTCTATTCTATTCTATTCTATTCTCTATTCTATTCTCTATTCTCTATCCTATTTACTATTCTTCTATTCTATTCTATTCTATTCTATTCTATTCTCTATTCTACTATTTATATTCTATTCTATTTACTATTCTCTATTCTATTCTATCTATTCTATTCTATTCTACTATTCTCTATTCTCTCTATTTACTATTCTCTTATTCTCTTCTAGTCTCTCTGTTCTATTCTCTATTCTATTCTCTTTACTATTCTCCTTATTCTAATTCTATTCTATTCTATTCTCTATTCTATTCTACTATTCTATTCTATTCTATTTACTATTCTCAATTCAATTCAATTCTATTCTATATTCTATTCTCTCTCTCTATTCTATTCTATTTACTATTCTCCTATTCTATTCTATTCTATTCTATTCTATTCTATTCTCTGTTCTGTTCTAATTCTATTCTATTCTATTCTATTCTATTCTATTCTATTCTATTCACTATTCTTCTATTCTATTCTATTCTATTCTATTCTATTCTATTCTATTCTATATTATATTCTATTCTTGTATTGTATTGTATTGTATTGTATTGTATTGTATTTACTATTCTCTTATTCTATTCTATTCTATTCTATTCTATTCTATTCTATTCTATTCTATTTCTATTCTATTCTATTCAGGGGTGGGCTGCTAGGGGTTCACCCGTAGCGGAGAACCCGTAAGGGAGAACCCGTAGCTAACATTATGGCCAGTTCGGAGAACCTCCAAATCCCACCCCTGGCCCACATTCGTTTAGTGAACAATCAGAGTTACAACGGCACTGAAAAAAGGAACAGTTTTAGGAACAGTTTTCACGCAAATCTTGCCGCATCCCTGCGGTCACGGGATCAAAATTAAAGTTGCTTGGCCACGGACTCGTATTTATGACGGTCGTAGTATCCCGGGGGTCACAGGATTTCCCCCTTTTGCGACCTTCCGACAAGCAAAGTCGACGGGGAAGCCAGATGCAGCATTTAATAACCTTCTGACTAAATTAATGACTGAAACGATTCAACTAGCAAACTGTGGCAAGAAAGGTCGTAAAACGGGGCAAAAACTCACTGAACAACGGTCTCAGCAATGGCAATTTGCAGCTCAGTTGTGGTCGTAAGCCGAGGACTCCCTCTATCATTTTTTTTCTCCAATACTGGTATGTTCCTTTTTTTTTTTTCCCCTTATGGGGCAAGAAAAGATGCAAGTGCATTTTTGGCTTTGTGGCGCCCTCTTCAGGGACCGACAGGTACTACATTCCCCCATCTCCTTAAACCACCATTTAATCAGGATTGGTTGAATAAGCCAGACTAAACTAGCTATCATTTACCAGTCACGACAGGGAGATGCCACAACCGAACCGCATGATACTTCTGTGCAACCTGTGGAGCTAAAGCAAGCATTATTAAATAAATGGTTAAAACAAACCATCAAACAAATAAATAATGTAATTAATAAATAAATAAAATATATAATCGTTACATTCTTCCTAACTTCCTTTTTTTTTCCTAAACATACACTTGGGTGCCTTCACCCTTTTTGCGTTCTCCGAATGCCTATTACGGCATTTATCAACCACTTTAAGATGGGTGGACTTCAACTCCCAGAATTCCCTATGCGGGCTGGGAGAATCCTGGGAGTTGAAGTCCACCCATCTTACCTTTGCCAAGGTTGGGGAAAAAACACAAGTATATATTAATTCTGCACATCCTCCAGTCTTTTTAGCTTGCTGTCTTTTTGGCCTTTGGGTCTAAATACCCACATTGGGTATTTAGGGAAAAGGCTAATTACCATTTAGAAATAGAAATAGAATATCAGAGTTGAAGGGACCTTGGAGGTCTTCTAGTCCAACCCCCTGCTTAGGCAGGAAACCCTACACCACATCAGAGAAATGGTTAACCAACCTCTTCTTAAAAACTTCCAGTATTGGAGCATTCACAACTTCTGGAGGCAAGTTGTTCCACTGATTAATTGTTCCGTCAGGAAATTCCTCCTTAGTTCTAGGTTGCTTCTCTCCTTGATGAGTTTCCATCCGTTGCTTTTTGTCCTACTCTCGGGTGCTTTGGAGAATAGCTTGACTCCCTCTTCTTTGGGGCAGCCCCTGAGATATCTGAACACGGCTATCACGTCTCCCCTAAGTCCTTCTTTCCATCAGACTAGACCAGGGATCTGCAACCTTAAACACTGAAAGAGCCATTTGGACCCGTTTCCCACAGAAAAGAAAACACCGGGAGCCACAAAACCCTTCCCGTGACTGACGATTTCTTGAGCAGCCACAAAACTAGCATATGTAGTCGAATTAAATGTTCTGTTTTCTTCTGAAACAGTTCTTTGCTTTGATTTATCCATGGTCGGCCTACCGGGGGTTGAAAAGCTCAATAAATCGCGTGCCGGCGAGTGTCGCACATTGGTGGTGGTGACGCATATTTTGAGAGACAGGAGCCGCAGCAGAGGGGTGAAAGAGCCACATGCGGCTCCAGAGCCAAAGATTGCTGACCCCTGGACTAGACATACCCAGTTCCAGCAACCGTTCTTTATATGTTTTAGCCTCTATTCCCCCCTGGGGTTCCCAGGGGTTCGGGAGAACCTCTAACTACGATTCTGTGCAGTTCGGAGAACCCCCAAATCCCACTGCTGGCTGGCCCCGCCCACCCCTCCCCTCCCAGGAGTCACCACGCGGCCCGTTTTGGATGTAGGTAAGTGCAGGGCATGTATGGAGGCTCGGGGAGGATGAAAAACGGGCCTACCGGAAGTTCGGGAAGGCCAGAAAAAGCCCATTTCCGGCCTCGAGAGGGCTTCCGGAGGGCCGGGGGAGACCGTTTTCGCCCTCCTGGAGACTCGAGGAAAGCCTCTGGAGCCTGGGGAGGGCAAAAACACCCCCCCTTCTGTCGTGGTGCAGGAGGCCGACTAGGCCACACCCACCATGGCCACGCCCGCCCAGCAACCGGGCAGGGAACCCCTTGCTAAAATTTTTGAAGCCCAGCCCTCTCCTTAATCATCTTTGTTACTCTTCTCGACAACTCTTTCTAGAGTCTCCGTATCATTTTTGGGGGGGGTCTCCTCATTTAAGAGAAACCCAAGATCATCACAGCAGGCCTTTTCAAAAAAAATAATAATAATAATAAGGACCTCTCTCTTCCGTGACAAAAATGAGAATTTGTCAGCCATTGACAACAAGACAACAACAAAAAAAAAGCCAACAACACACAGACAATGTTTTGAGGTAGGCCCCGTTCAGTTCCGCTTCTTAAAGGAGTCCCTTCTTTACGTCTTGCAAATTGTGCTTTTGGAGGCTGGATGTGGCGACGATCGTAACTCAACCTGAGGTAGGATTGGGGGAAAAAAAAAAAAAGATTGAGAAATATCTGGAGATCTCCTCACAAACAGGAACCTGCAAGCTACCACTTTGCTGGAGAACAATTGCCGAAAGGAGACAAAAACCCGCCTCTGCCTGGATTCTGAAATGGGTCAGTGGGTCGGAAGGTGGGTCGGAAGCCAGCCGGGCCTCTTAGCCCCGGAAAAGCAGCAATAACAGCGAAGGATACTTCTTAGGATGTTCTTTGTGTGACGGGTTGGGAGGAGAAGAACTTCCAGAGTGGACCAGGTTGAGAAGAAGACATTGTTGGGTGAATTGGTCTTTTTTTTTTTTTTTTTGGTTTTTTTTTATTTTTTACGAGCAGGGCTGGGGTGCAGCGTAGAAAGAGGAAGGAAGGGGCAGGCAAGCAGAGGAACAGGGTAGAGAGAGAGAAAAAAAAGAGGGAACCAAGGCGAGATAGGTAGATCAAAAGGAATAGAGGAATTCAGCAGAGACAGGGAGAAGAAGACACCCCCCACCCCAAAAAAAACCCCGCTTGGACATCTTGGAGAATTGGCGACCACCAAGGTGAGGACAAAGACGAGACAATCCCGCTTGCCGAAGTCCAGAAGAAAACCAGAAGGAGACCCATCCGGGAGAAGAGAGAGAAATAACGACGTCCCACGAAGGAGGCAGCTAGACTTCGGAAGAGGAGAAGACCTTCAGAGATAAGGTGCCCGTAAAGACGTGGGTTGGAGCCTTCCGAAGGTCAGGGAGAAAGAGGAACTGGCGTTGGGTCTTCTACCATGTCCCAAGGAGGCTACTTTGAGGGCGAGAGGCACTACCAAGCTCTAGAAATGGCTCCTGCGAGGTCCACTGGAAGCGACTTGGCCCCTTTGTGCGAATCGGAGTTGGCCTCCTACATCGGGGACGAACAGTTGCTGTCGGAGTTGCTGCAAGGCAACCAGCAGAGGCTGCCCAAGGGAACCCCCTTCCCAAACTACTTCCCCACCGACCCGTACCCCTTCCTCTCTTTCGGAGGGGAACGCAAAGGCCTGGCCCCCTTTGATCCGCGATCAGTTGCTGTCAAGGAAGAACCTCGAGGTGGAGAGGCAGGACGAGGGGCCGCACGCCACCCGTACGCCGCCATGCACTTGCCAGCTGCCCACTGTGCCCAGGTGACCCTCACCCAACCGGGACCGCGGACTGGACAAGCTTTGAGAGTGCTCAAGGTAAGGATGGAGAAGACCCTCCCCCCCGTTACCCTTCTCTAACTTGGAGACCCCCAATTCTACCTGCCAACAAGAAACAACAGATGGACTAGGGGAGTCATGATTAACAGTGTTCCAATATTTGAGGGGCTGCCCACAAAGAAGAGATGGTCAACCTGAAGGCAGGAGAAGAAGCAACGGAGGGAAGCTCATCAAGGAGAGAAGCAACCTAGAATTAAGGAGAAACTTCCTGACAGGTAGAACAATTAACCATTAACAATTAACCTCCAGAAGTTGTGAATGCTCCATCACTGGAGGGTTTTTAAGAAGAGACTGGACAGTCATTTGTCTGAAATCGGATTGTCTCTGCTGCTTGAGACTGCTGGAGAAGACCTCCAAGGTCCCTTCCAGGTCTATTCTGATCGATGTTGGTTCCTACAGTTGACCTCCTAGAATATTATCACTGCAAGTAGAAAGAGTCTTTAAAACTCAGTTATACACCCTTGGAGAACAAAACAGAATAACAGAGTTGGAAGGGACTTTGGAGGTCTTCTAGTCCAACCCCCTGCTTAGGCAGGAAACCCTACACCACTTCAGACAAATGGTTGTCCAACATCTTCAAAACTTCCAGTGTTGGAACATTCACAACTTCTGGAGGCAAGTTGTTCCACTGGCTAATTGTTCTCACTGTTGGGAAATTTCTCCTTAGTTCTAGGTTGCTTCTCTCCTTGATGAGTTGCCATCCGTTGCTTCTCGTCCTGCCTTCCGGTGCTTTGGAGAATTGGTGGACCCTCTCTTCTTTGGGGCAGCCCCTCAAATATTGGAAGACATGATAGCAATCATGTCACACCCCTAGTACCTTCTTTTCACTAGACTATACTCAATTCCTGCAACCGTTCTTCGTGCGTTTCAGCCTCCAGCTCCCTAACCATCTTGGTTGCTCCTCTCTGCGCTTGGAAAGTACTGTTTTCCATCTTGATTGACGCCCCATCGCTCAGGGGCAGGTTGATCTGTGGGGGAGCAGAAGGAAACGGGCGCAATTCCCTGGATTGTGCAGACAGGATAGAATGAGGCAGGAGGAGGAAGACATGTATTGTGATCTCTGGGGGGGGGGGGTTTCTACAGCGCCATCGGTTTCATGGAGAAAGACTGAAAAAGGACCTTCTCTTAAGCTCTTGACGATCCATAATTGGACACAAGAAGAAGGAAAAACGGAGGCCCGAAAGGTTAAAACGGCGTTTATCAGTGCTGGCAACTTCCAGAATTCTGGGAATTGAAGTCCACCCATCTTAAAGGTTTTCAAGGTTGAGACACACTGGATTAAAGACAGTGTTTAACTGTCTTCAATGTTAAAAAAAAACCCACTGGGTTTCACATCATTTTACCACCGGTTCGCTGCGCACCGAACCGGCTGAATACCACCACCGATTAAAGAGTTAATTTAGAGGATATAGCTTTGGGTAATGAAGGCAAATATTGAATAGAAAAGGTACGTTTTCCGGAGTCCCTGTTTTTAATTCCTTTCCCTAACAACCCAGATTCTGTAATGTCCCCATTTTAGGATCCTTCTTCTTCTAATTCTTGTGCCATATCCGTCATCGGATGTTGGCGATCGTGTTGGCAATCCTATTTTTGTCAACAGCCGCATGAAAAAGTGCTGCTGAGTTTTGTCCAAACCAGTCCCTTAAGATTTTGAAGCCATGATGTTTTGCTTCTTCTGCCTGGACCTCGTTCGCCTTCAATCTTTCCTTGGAGGATTAAGTGAAGGATGCCGTATTTTTCTGGGTGTCGCCTCACAAGTCCGAAATATTCTAACGTTCGCTTTTTAATGGCTTTGAGGATTTCCCTTGGCTTTTCCAGGCGGCTTATCCCCTCCCCATTTTTGATTTTATTAGCCCAGCTTATACGTAACAGCCGTCTGCAAATCCACATTTCAAATGCTTCTAGTCTCTTCCAGTGGCTTTCTGACAGAGACCAACTCTCCACTCCGTAGAGCAGGATAGAAAAGACGTAACATCTAACAAGCCCGATTTTCAATCTTAGGCTTATGTCGTGACTGCAGAAGATCTTTTTCGTCTTGAAGAATTTTAGATTAGAGACTAGAATTGGAGAGGCTAGAATTTTAGGATTCTAGTCTCATTTAACCGGGCTTTGACTCCCAATTCTGCAAAATTCTTATTGGTAATATTGGCCTGCTCCTTTCTCGGTGTGGGGTTCCCCTAGTCTTTCTCCCGTCCTCAAAAGAGCCCCAAGAAACCATAAAAATAGGACCATTCACAGACTGAGATCAACACCATCATGGCTCTGTTACGGTTTTTAAAGATAGCTCAGCCACGCCAAAAAATAAGCAGAAATACGTAACGTGAAAACCTGTTAAGAAAACTGGACGTATTAAGTGGGCCTACCCTGTTTCCCCGGAAATAAGATCCAACCGGAAAATAAGTCCTAGCCAGGGGTGGGTTCCACTTACCTTTACTATCGACCGGTTCGCAACGCGTATGCGCAGATCGTCGGTGATGATATTGTGGCGATTGGACAGACTCTCCCGCCGCCGTTACTACCGGTTCACAAGAACCGGACCAAACCGGGAGCAACCCACAACAGGTCCTAGCATGATTTTTCAGGATGCTCGTAATATAAGCCCTACGCCCCCCCCCAAAAATAAGCCCCAGTTAAGATTGTCAGCCAAAGGGGTGCATTTAGTACCGTAATTCCCCCCCAAATAAGACCTAACCAGAAAATAAGCCGTAATGCGTCTTTTGGACCAAAAATTAATATAAGACCCAGTCTTATTTTCGGGGAAACACGGTATTAAGAAAATGATGGTATGTACAAGTTGTTAAGTTCGCAAGATCAGGCAAATGCCAGGAAGAGTACTGAGAAGCAAACCTCGTCAAGGTTTACACAATCCTGGCTTATTCATGGCTTGGCGTGATGGTCGACTTTAACATCACAGTGCAACCCCACCGGTTTGTCTTGATCACTGTCGATCAAAGCTGGGCACGACAGTGACATCTAACAACCCATAATTACCTCAGTCATGGCTTACTATGGCTGATATCAGGTCTCAGATGGAATTTTCAAGAACTTCTCAAGAACTTAGCTTGACTCATTCTCATCCAATAAAACCATGAACAGAGGGATTTTCCCATTTATTTTGAGGGAATTTCAGAAATCGGGGAAACAAGGAGAATTAGAGTTAGGGTCCCTGGTATACCCCAACTTGAAGAACCCTTCTTGTACAGCCACCAAAACTTAGCTGTTTCTGCAAGTGCTTTGAAAGCTTGTAAAGGTGGAATCGGTTCTTCCGCAGGGAAAAGTTGGTCAATTATGGGATGTTCTAACACAATTCCCCCTCCTTTTTTTTTTTTTTTGCTGGATTAATTATTACCGCAGCTGTGGTTACACTTTTCCATTTTGGGAACCTGGGAATGAGCGACGGGAGAAGCTCACAAAGACGGAAGATAAATAAACGGGGGCTCCCGTAAAATATTTTGTGGCGTGGGTCTAAACGCATTTATTGTGTAGATCAAACACAAAGAAGGATGCCGTTTCGGATGTGTATTTTAGACGGATGGAAGGGGGAAACCAACTCGGTGAAGCTTCAAGGCGAGAGAGAGGAGAGAGCTGGCGAGGGCCGGTTCAGGAAAAACATTCGAAACCCTTTCGCCGGAGATCTAAAGAAATATTATGAAAATATTTATGGCAAGTTTTGCAAGGGCTGCTTTTGAGCCAAACGGCCGAGTAAGGAGATTGGCCCTCCCTAAAATCCAAGACAATGGAAGGAAACCCGACTATTCCCGTAGGAATTCAGAAGTCCACATATGTGAAACTGTGGCATTCAAGACCGGGGGATTTTCATGCTGGCCTGAGATAAATATAATTTCGACAACTTGTCGGAAGGAAGAAAATGCCCACTTCTCTTTGATAGGAATTTAACGAAGTTGGAATATCTTGGAATAATTGGAAATAACAGAATAAGGGACCTTGGAGGTCTTCTAGTCCAACCCCCTGCTCAGGCAGAAACCCTGTACCATTTCAGACAAACGGTTGTCTAACCTCTTCTTCAAAACCTCCAGTGTTGGAGCACCCACAACTTCTGGTGGCAAGTTGTTCCCCTGGTTCTCATTGTCAGGAAATTTCTCCTTAGTTCTAAGTTGCTTCTCCCCTTGGTTAGTTTCCATCCGTTGCTTCTTGTCCTACCCTCAAGGTGCTTTGGAGAGTAGGGGGACCCTGGGATGGGCTTCAAAAATTTTAGCAAGGGGTTCCCTGCCTGGTTGCTGGATGGGTGTGGCCATGGTGGGCGTGGCCTAGTCAGCCTCTTGCACCACAGGGGAGGGGGTCTTTTTGCCCTCCCCAGGCTCCGGAGGCTTTCCTTGAGGACGACGAAAACAGCCTCCCCAGGCTCCGGAGGCCCTCTGGAGGCCGGAAACAGACTCCTGTGAAGGGAGGGATGGGGTGGGCGGGGCCAGCCAGGAGTGAGATTTGGGAGTTCTCCAAAACTGCACAGAATCTTAGCTAGAGGTTCTCCCGAACCAGGAGTGAAATATAGCAGGTTCTGACAGGTTCTGGAGAACCCGTAGCGGAAATCTTTAGCAGTTCAGAGAACCGGTAGCGGAAATTTGGAGTAGTTCGGAGAACCGGCAAATACCACCTCTGGCTGGCCCCAGAGTGGGGTGGGAATGGAGATTTTGCAGTATCCTTCCCCTGTGATGCCCACCAAGCCACGCCTACAGAACCGGTAGTAACTGTCTTGAACCCCTGCGAACCCCCAGCAGCCCACTCCTGGGTAGACCCCCTCTTCTTTGGGGCAGCCCCTCAAATATTGGAAGACTGCTATGGTGTCACCCCTAGTCCTTCTTTTCCTTAAACGTGGCGTTTCTTATTCCTGCAACCAAGATTTTTTTCCCCCCTCATCTAAGTTGAGTTGCCGTTTAGGAAACGAATTTCCAATAGACTCTTAATTTTTTTTTACATCTGTACTCTTTCCTATTGTTACTCTCTCATTTTGTCTCGGGAGGTTTTGAAAAAATAGAGCAGACAAACCATTCGACAGCATAGGATGGCATAAGATCTCCTGCCTTGAGCTGTGGGTTGGACTAGAAGACCTCCGAGGTCCCTTCTACCCCCTAGGAGATTCTTGGTTCTGTGTTCTCGTCCTTGCTACCTTCTTCTCCTAAACTTGGAGACATCTAGGATTTATTTATTTTTGGGGGAAGAGGAGGAAGGGTGAAGAGCCTTGGTAGTACAGTGGTCTAAAACACCCTGTTATTAAGACCAGCTGCCTGCAATTACTGCAGGTTCGAATCTCGCCAGGCTCAAGGTTGACTCAGCCTTCACATCCTTTCTAAGGTAGGTAAATTGAGGACCCAGTTTGTGGGGGCAATAAGCTGACTTTGTATAAATATACAAAAGGATGAAGGCTATTGCTTAGCGCATTGTAAGCCGCCCTGAGTCTCCGGAGAAGGGCGGCATATAAATCAAATTAAAACAAAACAAAACAAAACAAAAAAGACTAAAATTCATTTCCCCACAGCTTGTTCTTTTACGGACCGTAGTTTGAAACGACACAATTCCAACCTCTTTCACACCGAATCGGTCTTCTTGCAGTTTTGGGGCCCCGGTCGGATCAAATCTGAAATCCATCCTTTAAACAAATAAATTGAAAAAGATCACTCTCTAACTTTTTCCATCTGAGTATTTTTTAACAAAAAAGAAAGAAAGAAAGAAAGAAAGAAAGAAAGAAAGAAAGAAAGAAAGAAAGAAAGAAAGAAAGAAAGAAAGAAATGGTTTTTGTATTCCTGAAACTTTTGTTTTAACAAAGAGCGGTTTGGAGTCTCAACTTCTCATTGTTCCAAATATCTGGAGGAAGCGAAGCTTTCCTTATCGTCAGCTTTATTTTCTTTAACTTAAATCCCGGGGTAAGGACGGCCTGACTGGGACCACAATTAAATGGGGGTGAGGTGGGGTGGGGAACAGGGGCTCACGGAGAAGTGAGCAAGAAAAGAAAACAGAGCAGAAAAAAAACCCAGATGAGTTCGTCCTTTGAGTTTTTTCTTGCTTGTTTTTCTTTGTTTATATGATTAGTTTTTTTTGTTCTTTATTTTTTTATTATTATTATTATTACTTTTTATTTGATTTTTACTTACTTACTTAATTAATTAATTTATTATTAATAATAATGCAAAGGTCAGGTCAGATAGGTGGATAGAATCACCCTCTTCGGCATTTTCCGCTGAGGGAGCTTGAATGTGTGTCTCTCGCTCTGGCTTTCAACCCCCAGATCTATTTTATTATTTACTTTACTGAATCCGGTTTCTAGGCTTGATCTGGTCCTTGCAGATTCTTATTTTTTAGGAACCGCGCTGCAGTTTTTAATGTGGTTTTTGAGCTTCAAACTGTTGAGACAAAACTGTAGTTTCGAATGCTTTAAAAAGTGGGTCTTTGATGTGTGGTTGTGAGAGAGCGAGAGGGAGGGAGGGAAGGAGAGAGAGGGAGGGGGAAGAGAGAGAGAGACAGAGAGGGAAGGAAGGATGGAGGGAGAGAGGGAGAAATGGGGAGGGAGAGAGGGAGAGAGAAGGAGGGAGGGGGAGAGAGAGAAAGAGAGATAGAGAGAGGAGGAGAGAGAGGGAGGGAAAGAGAGGGAGAAAGAGGGAAACAGAGAGACAGAGGAAGGAAGGAGGGAGGGAGGAAGAGAGAGAGAGAAAGAGAGACAGAGGGAGGGAGGGAGGAGAGAGAGGGAAAGAGAGAGAAAGAAAGAGAGAAAGAGGGAAGGGAGGAGGGTGGGAGAAAAGGGGAAGGAGGGACAGAGAAGGAGGGAGGGAAAGAGAGACAGAGAGAGAGAGGGAGGGAGGGGGAGAGAGAGGGAGGGAGCGAGGGAGAGAGAAGGAAGGAAGGAGAGAGGGAGAAAGAGAGAAAGAGAAGAGAAAGAGGGAAGGGAGGAGGGTGGAAGAAAAGGGGAAGGAGGGACAGAGAAGGAGGGAGGGAAAGAGAGACAGAGAGAGAGGGAGGGAGAGGGGAGAGAGAGGGAGGGAGAGAGGAGAGAGAAAAGGAAGGAGAGAGGGAGAAAGAGAGAAAGAGAAAGAGAGGGAAGGAAGGAGGGAGGGAGGGAGAAAGGGGGAGGGAGAAGAGAGAGGGAGAAAGAAAGAGAGACAGGAAAGGAAGGAGGAGGGAGAGGGGACAGGGAGAGAGAGGGAGGGAGAAAGGAAGGAGGGAGAGAGAGAGAAAGAAAGAGAGAGGGAAGGAAGGAAGGAGGGAGGGAGGGAGAGAAAGGGGGGCGGGAGAGAGGGAGGAAAGGAGGGAGGGAGGGAGAACATAGACCTGACTTTGGGGGAGAGAAAGGGAATGACCATTAAGGGGGATTTTGAGATACGTTCTGTGAGAAAATATTCCTGTCTTGAATTTGACTACCCCTTTGAGGTAGACTAGCTCAACAAGCAAGCATGGCTCGGGTTTCAGGAAGGGCTGAAGTCAGAAGGAAGGTCAGAGAAGCAAGAATTTGAAAGCCTCCCCAGTTTTTATTTGGTGCCACTGTATACTAAATAAAATCAAGGTAGGGTTTCCTTGAGTTTCTTTCTCACCTCTTCTTTCTTTCTTTCTCGGGACGAGGAATCTTTTCTGCCCGTCTCTCCTTAAGGCCTATCTTGTTTCCTTTCCCCTCCCTGTGGTTGGATCGACTGTACATTCCTTCACAGGGAGCCCCACTTCCCCTACCTGAATAACAGAGTTGGAAGGGACCTTGGAGGTCTTCTAGTCCAACCCCACTGCTCGGGCAGGAAATTTACCTTTACCATTTCAGACCACTCGTTGTCCAAGCTCTTCTTATAAACCTCCAGGGATGGAGCAGGACATCCGCAATTTCTGGTGGTTCCACAGATTAATTGTTCAAACTCTCAGGAAATTCCTCCTTAGTTCTCGCTAGCTTCTCTCCTTGATGAGTTTCCATCCCTTGCTTCTTGTTTCTTCCTGCCTTCAGGTCTGGTGGCAAGCCGTTCCACAGATTAATTGTTCCAACTCTCGGGAAAATTCGTTCTCGGTTGCTTCTCTCCCCTTGACGAGTTTCCATCCCTTTGCTTCTTGTCCGTCCTGCCTTCAGGCGGGGTTCAACCAGAGGTGGGTTTCAGCAGGTTCTGACCAGTTCTGGAGAACCGGTAGCGGAAATTTTGAGTAGCTCGGAGAACCGGTAGTAAAAATTCTGACTGGCCCTGCCCCCATCTATTCTCTGCCTCCCGAGTCCCAGCTGATCGGGAGGAAATGGGGATTTTGCAGTATCCTTCCCCTGGAGTGGGGTGGGAATGGAGATTTTACAGTAGCCTTCCCCTGCCCCGCCCACCAAGTCATGCCACACCCACCAAGCCACACCCACCGAATCGGTAGTAAAAATTTTTGAAACCCATCACTGGGTTCAACCCACGTTTCTCTAATCTCTTCTTTTACCCGCCCCACAGGGTCCGGCCTGCAGCCCGTCTCCTCCTTGCGGCAACCCCAAGGGAAAGAAATCGGTGAACAAGGACAGCCTGGAGTACCGCCTGCGCCGCGAACGCAACAACATTGCGGTCCGTAAGAGCCGCGACAAGGCCAAGAGGCGGGTGATGGAGACGCAGCAGCGCATGGTGGAACTCCTGGGGGAGAACGAGCGGCTGCGCACCCGGGTGGAACAACTGATGCAGGAAACCGAGACCCTTCGGGATATTTTCCGTCAAGTGCCGGAAGCCGCCGGCTTGATCAAGGGTCTCGGGGGTTGCAGCTGAAGCTGGACGGGGGCGTTGGCATCCGAGGTGCCAAGAGGGGAGCGGGGGGTGACTGGAATCTAGAAGAACAAAGCTTTTGCAAGGTGTAAATAAAAGATTTTTTTTTTTTTTGGCTTGGCTTTAACCATCTCTGGTGGTGAATTTTTGTTTTATAGTTTATTTATACATTTTCGATTAACTTTGTGAATACTGTAATGTCCCGGTCAATTGCTTACATAATAATATAACATACAAGGTAAAGGTTCCCCTTGCACATCTCTGCTAGTCGTTCCCGACTCTAGGAGGCGGTGCTCATCTCCGTTTCAAAGCCGAAGAGCCAGCGCTGTCCAAAGACGTTTCCGTGGTCATGTGGCTGGCATGACTAAACACCAAAGGCGCATGGAGCGCTGTTACCTTCTCACCAAAGGTGGTCCCTATTTTTCTACTTGCATTTTTTTATGTGCTTTCGAACTGCTAGGTTGGCAGAAGCTGGGACAAGGAACGGGAGCTCACCCCGTTACGCAGCACTAGGGATTCGAACCGCTGAACTGCTGAACTTTCAATCAATAAGCTCAGCATCTTAGCCACTGAGCCGCCGTGTCCCTTAATATTTATTTATTTATTAAATTTTTATACCGCCCTTCTCCCAAAGGACTCAGGGCGGTGAACAGCCAAAATTAAAATACCTACAATATGAAAATTAAAATAATTTAAAACATGATTAAATTAATTTGGCTTCCCCAATTTAAAACCCCTTACCCATAAAATTGACCAGTTAAAAATTTTAAGCCAGCCCGGCTTGCTGAAATAGAAAAGTCTTCAGGGCCCGGCAGAAAGTACGGAGGTCCGGGATCAATCGTAATCCTGGGGGTAGCTCGTTCCAGAGGGCGGGTGCCCCCACCGAGAAGGCTCTCCCTCTGGGGGCCGCCAGTCGACATTGTTTGACCGACAGCACCCTGAGGAGACCCTCTCTGTGGGAGTGAATTGGCCAGTGGGAGGTTATATAACATATAATAATAATAACAACATTAACATTAACATTAACATTAACATTAACATTAACATTAACATTAACATTAACATTAACATTAACATTAACATTAACATTAACAAAAACAATAATGATTGTCACTTGGAACACAACACGCCAGATATCACAGTTGCCAAAAACCGAAACGTACAATTTATTGACATTGTGGTACCAGGATATGCCAGAGTCAAAGAAAAAGAACTGGAAAAAAAATCACGAAATATCGCAACCTGGCCATCGAAACTACACGGCTATGGATGAAACATGTAACAATGATACCCATTGTCATCGGGGCACTTGGTACCATGTCCAAAAAATTTTTAAGAGACATCAACAAATTGCAGCTTCCTGCAATAACACCAGCGGAACTGCAAAAAACTACGCTACTTGGAACATCGTACATCTTAAGAAGGTACTTGGTTGATACCTAGGATGCTGGCAGCAACCCGTATCAACCATTAGCACCAGTCAATGGTATTTGTGATGCATTTTTGAATGTTCAGTTGACTGAGTTTCGTATTTAATGAATAAAGTAAATAATAACCATAATAATATTACATTAACAATAACAACAATATTTCCCCAGCTCCTAATTTCTACTATTATCCAACCAGTTCTAAAACAAATCCCATATTTGAAAATATTCCGTATCTTCCTTCTCTTTTATCTTTAATGTCAGTCTATCCATTTCTGAGCAATCTAATATTTTACATTGCTAATCTACACAAAGACGGGGGGGCAGGGGTGAAATCCAGCAGGTACTGACAGGTTCTAGAGAACCAGTAGCGGAAATTTTGAGTAGTTCAGAGAAATACCACAAATACCACTTCTGGCTGGCCCCAGAGTGGGGTGGGAATGGAGATTTTGCAGTATCCTTGCCCCAGGAGTGGGGAGGGAATGGGGATTTTGCAATATCCTTCCCCTGGAGTGGGGTGGGAATGGAGATTTTGCAGGATCCTTCCCCTGCCATGCCCACCAGGCCACACCCACTAGTAAAAAAAAATTGGATTTCACCATTGCGAGGGGATTAATTTTATTCACCCCAGAATTCTATTATTCTGTTATCTTTGTTCACCTCTAAATCTTTTTTTTTAACACATATATCGCACTCAGTTTTGGTCACCACAATATAAAAAAAGATGTTGAAACTCTAGAAAGAGCGCAGAGGTGAATTAGGGGACTGGAAGCTAAAACAGACGAAGAACGGTTGCAAGAACTGGATATCTTTAATTATTAGTATTATTATTATTAATTCAATTTGTATGCTGCCCCTCTCCGAAGACTCAGAGCAGAGTCTTCTAATGTAGAGACAGATTAGGGGTGGCATGATAGCAGTCTTCCAATATTTGAGGGGCTGCCACAAAGAAGAGGGGGGTCCCACCAATTCTCCAAAGCACCCGAAGGCAGGAGAAGGAGCAACGGATGGAAACTAACCAAAGAGAGAAGCAACCTAGAACTAAGGAGAAATTTCCTGATAGTTATAACAAGGGAGAACAATGGAGGGAGGGAGGGAAAGATGGAGAGAGGGAGGGAGGGAGGGAGGGAGAGAGAATATGAATCTGAAGAAGAAATATTAGCTATGAGATACAAGCAGGAGAAGAAGCAACGGATGGAAACTCATCAAGGAGAGAAGCAACCTAAGAACTAAGGAGAAATTTCCTGACAGTGAGAACAAGGGAGAACAATGGAGGGAGGGAGGGAAAGATGGAAAGAGGAAGGGAGGGACAGAGGGAGAGAGAGGGAGGGAGGGAGAGAGAATATGAATGTGAAGAAGAAATATCAGCTACTGAGATACAAGCAGGAGAAGAAGCAACGGATGGAAACTCATCAAGGAGAGACGCAACCTAAGAACTAAGCAGAAATTTCCTGAACAAGGGAGAACAAGGGAAGGAGGGAGGGAGGGAAAGACGGCAACCATTTGTTTGAAATCGTATAGGGTCTCTTGCTCGAGCAGGAGGTTGGACTAGAAGACCTCCGAGGTCCCTTCCAATGTTCTACCTGGTTGTTAGCATTCTCCCTGAGAGCTGTTGAGGCCACTCGGAAGTTTATCTGTGCCCTCAGGGCAGGGATGGTATTCACTTACTTTCCCTACCGGTTCACAAATGTGAGCGCCCCCCTCCCCGTCCATGCATGCGGCCGGCTTTCCGCGCATGTGCTTTGCTGGCGGGCGCGCCTCCTGCGCATACGCCCGGCCTCAAAAACATGCCTAAATATGATGGCATAGAGCCGGGGCAGGTGGACGGGCCCACCTGCTATTTCCGCTACTGATTCGGGTGAACCGGTCCGAACCGGCTGAATACCATCTCTGCCTCAGGGTCAGCTGAATTGTGCAAATGTGTGTGGAACCTTCTTGGAATACTGAAAAGGGTTGCCTTGTAAACTAGAGATAGGTGGTGCCTTATGCCCCGCTCCTGTGTTGTGGGAGGGCCACTGAATGCTAAGATAGATGGCCTCTTTGACCCCTCTTTCATACCAGAGGTCTTCTCTGTCCAGAATGTGGACTTTGCCGTCTTCCAAAGAGTGGCTTTGTTTTTCAAATGCAGATGGACCGCTGAACCTTGTCCTGAGGGGGGTTTGTTCTCCTACGTTGTGCCATGTGTTTGTGAAGTGGTTGTTTTGTTTCCCCAATGTACAAATCTGCACATGGCTCAGAATAACAGAAGAGTGGGAAGGGGCCTTGGAGGTCTTCTAGTCCAACCCCCTGCCCTATTCCATTCTTGACAAATGGTTGTCCAATCTCTTTTAAAAAAAACTCCAGTGATGGAGCTCCCACAACATCTGAAGGAAAGTCGTTCCACTAGTTAATTGTTCTCACGGTCAGGAAATTTTTCCTTAGTTCTAAGTTGCTTCTCTCTTGGTTAGTTTCCAAGAATTCTTTCTTATTCCTGCCTTCAGGGGCTTTGGAGAACAAGTTGACCCCCTTCCTTCTTTGGGGCAGCCCCTCAAATATGGAAGACTGCTATCATGTCACCCATAGTCCTTCTATGCATTAAATTAGACATACCCAATTTCCACAACTGTTCTTGGTATGTTTTAGCTTCATCATCTTTGTTGCTCTTCTCTGCACTCTTTCTAGAGTCTCCACATCTTTTTTATATCGTGGCGACCAAAGCTGGATGCAATATTCCAAGTGTGGCCTTACCAAGGCCTTATAAAGCGGTATTAACCCTTTTAACGTGATCTTGATTCTATCCCTCTGTTTATGCAGCCTAGAACTGTGTCGGCTTTTTGGGCAGCTGCTGCACACGGCTGGCTCCTATTTAAATGATTGTCCACTAGGACTCCAAGATCCCTCTCATAGTTACTACTATTGAGCCAGGTACCCCCTATTCTGTAGCTGTGTATAGAATAGGTACCATCCAACGTCAGGATGAGATTCTCCACCAAGATCCAGCTCAATCTTTAGGTTTTTTTTTTCCGGATCCCCTTGTTTTCGAAAAATTGACCGTTTCATCATTCATCGTTCAAAAGACGGTTGGGTGGACAATCCCTAACTAAGAGCAGTCCACCCAACCACCCAGGAGAAGGTCAAGTAGCAGAAGTCCTAACTTGAAGGGTTCCCAGTCGCTTTCTCCATGACCCTCCACCATGCACACACACACACACACACACACACAGATGCGCACACACAAGAGTTGTGCAAGGCAGCGGTTGATGTGACAACCTCCAGAGAACTACTTAGAGATGAAGGTGTTGTGGTGAGGCGAGAAGGAGGACGACCTTTCTCGTTCTCCTGAGATCTCGTGACCACATCAGACACACAACCAAGAGGCCTTGAAGAGAATATTCCACTCCCAACCGGGTCCTCAGCTTTTGGGTTTTCGGCCCCTCTCTGGCCACGGTCCCCTTGTCTGGAGGTTCTCCTTCAAGACGGAGGTAGAAACCAGCTAACTTCAAGGTAAGCCACTACCCCTATTGCATTGTCTTGTGAAACCGACTGTTACACCATCAGGAAGGAGAAAGAAACCTACCACACAAACCACAAGCACTCT